CGGGGGGATAGGAGGTCGGTGTTAGGAGACGGAGGCACGCACGCTATCTGCCCAATGTTGTTCGAGATCGCGTACAGCAGACTCTTGCTGATGTCCTCCGGGCTGAACGTGCCGCGCTTCCCGCCCTGCTTCTTGAACACCTTCCCGAACGTACTGGCGATCATCGTTGACTTCAGCCCGAGCTTGCTGTAGTCCGAGCCGTAGATGTCGCCGACGAGCATGTCCACGGTCTCGTTGTTGCCCTTCTCCGACAATGCGAGCATCTCTGCTAGAGATGTGAGCAAACATAGCATGCACGTCTCAGAACCGCACTCACCATCGAAAGTCGTCGCGGGCGTGAGCAGGCTAAGGAGACCCCAGAGCGTGCCGCCTCCCAAGCTCGTTCCGCTCACACGCTCAAACGACCCGTCCTCGTCGACCTTCACGATCGACACGCCCGAGCCGATGTTCACGAGCAAGCACGGCAGCTGCGGGACCGGGTCTTGCACAAACGTGACTGCGTACTTGGGCGGGTCCGGGCTCGGGCGCTCGAGCTGCGCCTGGTTGGGGTGCGAGACAGAGTGGATGAGCTCGTCGGAGAAGTAGTAGACCTCGTCCGGGATGAGCGTGATAAACTTGAGACCCTCGATGAGGCACGCCATCTCGTCCTCCCGGTGCACCTCCACCTGCAGCTCCGCGCCGAGCAGCTCGTAGAAGCGGTGCGCGCCGCCGCCCGTCGCGATCACCTTCACGCCCCGCCGCATCTCCTCGAGCGGGACGCGGTTGATCTCGGCGGAGCGCTCGATGAGCGTGCGGATGAACTCGAGGCACTCGTCGATGTGCTCCGTCTCGAACCGCTCGAAGTTGAGCGAGCCGCCGGGGAAGTGCTGCACGGATGCTCGTCGGAGTAGAGAGTCGTGCAGCAGGCTGTGGTTGACAGACTCGGGGGAGAGCGACGCGGTCGATGTGCCGTTCAGCGTAGATGATGCGGATGCAGCAGTGGACTCCGCCGCAGATGAACTGAGTGTACCCTCATGTCGATGGGAGGGGACCTCCAGGTAGCATCCATGGCCATTGGAGTGCTCGAGGACCGCAGGGGTGAGCGCTCCTTTGGGATGGCCGTTGAGTTTGCCCGTCAGGGGTGGTGAGGACAAGGGGCTCTCCTTGCTCGGCGAGGAGGACAACGGGGTGGAGATATCGCTCGGACTCGATCCTCGCGTCGCGATCTGTGAGGGCGACGACGGGGGGTTCGTGGACCGTGTGAAGTAGATGACTTTGGCCAAGGATCCTCCGATCTGGGCACCGCGCGCGCGTGGATGAGCAGCAATTCCCCGGCGCGCCGAACGGTTAACTGACTCACGTCAACAGCGATGTGCGAGACGGGCTCGATGTAGTTGGGGAAGTAGATTCCACGGCTGTCGCGCGTCTGGATGGCGATGGGTCGTGGTACACGAGAGCAGAGACGGTGCCGCGGAGAGGGATCGGATGGACCAAGGTAGGCAGCGCGGATCGCGAGAACCTCAGAAGTGCGCTCTGATGCTATGCGAAGGGCAGCTGACGCACCTCTGGAGACTCCTCGTCCAGTATCATGGCGCCTCTCGTGTCGACCTGGATGGTCTTCGCGGTCGGGAGCGAGGGACCTGCTGCGGACATGTCTGCGGGCACTCCTGACGGTGTGCGGCGGGAGCTGGACGGCATGGGGAGAGGTTGGGAGTTTTGTGAAGCAGTTTATGCGTGGGCTACTTAGTTCCCGGGCACGAGTACGTGGAGGTATATAGCGATGCGAGAAGCGGCTGGTGTGGGAGTCCGAGTAGTCGGGAGGGATATACGTAGAGAGCGTTCTCGCGCGAACCAGAGGAGGGCGTGTAACGAAGCGCAGCGGTCGCTCGAGCGTTATAGGACAGTGGGCGGCCGGCAGCGGGGATAGGATGAGGGGTCGGAGGAGATGGTACGACGCCGGCAATGGTGGCCTGTCGTTCGCTGTCGAGTCGTTGGGGCAGGCTGAGGGCGTTGCGTTTACCCCGCATCTGCTCAGATCTCTCCTCGGTGGGCCGTCTCCGATCGCGCGCGCACCCGACTCGCCTCCGCTCCGCCAGCTGCCCCGGGCCCCTGCGCCGATCCTCACGCTCCCCCGCCCTCTCTCCGGCCACTCCTTCCCCGAGCCCGCCATGGGCGGCGCCTTATCCTGGTTCCGTACACACCTGACCCCCGTAGTGGGGAATGTTACACACCGCACAGACGACCTGAGAAACACGCGCTGAAGTTCGCAAGTCGACGTCAACCTCCCATGGCACGCTTGAGTAGATCGCGTTGTATACGACTTCATAAACGGTCGAGCTCGCGCGGCCTTGGGGGCGCCAGCGCTGCATCTGTTCTGTGACTTCGAATCCGCTCTATCACTCAATACTCGGTGGGAATGTTATTAAACTCCCTTTTTCTATATGAATGTGGTATAGGGCACTCATACGTAGCCGCAGATGTTCCGTGAACCTTATTTTTCCATTTCTGCGGAAGAGAAAAAGGGTCGTAGATCTGTACACCGAGCGCTCAGCGCTTAGCTCTCAACTCTGTTCACCGTAAGTTCCTCGTCCGCTCGCGAGGCACATCGGGACTGCTCACACACCTGTACGTCTCAATCGCAATAGAGATTCCCGGATGCTGACACGCCTTCATAACCTCATGTACTGTACATAGGCAACAATGCCTTATACTCGTTCTTCGTCCCCGGACGCCATGCCCTCCAACAAACGATTAAGACTCGACCCGGACACGGATGCCGATCCGGACAAGGACAAGGACTTCTGGCTGGAAGACGGCAATATCGTGATCATCGCTCAGAAATCCGCATTCCGTGTGCACAAGGGAGTGCTCTCACGGCGCTCCGAAGTGTTCAGCGGCTTGTTCACCGTACCTCAACCGGAAGACGACGACGGCGTGGAGAAGCTGGAAGGTGTCCCCGTTGTGCGCGTCCAAGACTCAAGCCACGATTTCCGACACCTCCTTCGAGCCCTATATGATGGGATCGAGTGAGTGCTCTGTGCATCAGCTCACGTTTTCCGCTAACACGCATTCTGCAGCACGGATATGGACGAGAGGCCCTGGGCTGAGCTCGCAGCGCTTGCACGGTTGGCCCACAAGTACGGCCTTGATACGCTCCTGCAGGTCACGTTAAAACGAATCCGGGTCGTCATTCCCACCGAATATCAGCTGTGGAAGTCGTACGAATCTCTAGAGTCCTTCCGGGAAATGGGTGGCCTCGAAGAGCGCGCCTTTGAGATAGAAGCCTACAACCTCCTCCGCCAGTGCGGGAACGAAGAGATGGCCTTGGTTGCGCTGGAGATGTGTACCGACCTCTCCCTCCCCACCCTGCTGCACGGCTGCCAACGCGCCGACGGGACTCTCGAGAAGCTCCCTCCGGACGATCTCGAACGGTGCCTCCTCGCGCGCGAAGCGATCTCGGCGCGCAGCGCCAGATACAACTCGCAGTTCGCCGACGTCACCTCCCCCGACAGAGAACCCTGCACATCGCCGGCGCTGTGCCTGCCCATGTTTCGCCTCATGCGGCAGAGCATCGAGGAGATGCAGGATCTGCGCGGCAACCACACCGAACACTACAAACGGCGGATGGTGGTGCGGCTCTCGGTCGACCGCTACCACAAAGGTGGCATCTGCAGTGCTTGCGCGGAGCACCAGGAGTCGAGCAACTCGCGATTCTGTCAGGGGCTGTGGGAGGATTTGCCGGCTATCATGGGCATCCCCGTTCAAAACTGGCCGTCGGCGGTCGCCTGACCCTGACTCTAAAGGTGCGTTCTCGCAATAGTGCATTCGCTACCGCTGCGCGGCCCCGCATGTTTTCAGTCATTGATATGTTCCGCCTCTCCCTACAGTGTCCACCACAGCTCGGCCAAACCTAGGTTTGCGCCAGTACAGTAGTCTGAACACCGGGGATCCGCTCATCTCGTAATAGTTGGTCTTCGTGGAAACCTTGTATATAATGAGGCCAACTCTCGCTGAACTTTCCTCCGCTGGATCCCGCTCATCAGACTCACTATGTGTCAACGCTGAAGGCGGAACGGGTTGTGTAACGGCGTAGGAGCCACGGACGACCGAGTTGGTGATGTGTCGTTCGGAGAGGTCGACTACGTTGCAGCTGCGTATAGGCCGACGCATCTTCGCCGTCCCTCAGCCAGAGAACGTCGTTGGCTTCGAGAGAGAAGGTTGACAGCTGTCCCGTTGTACGCGTCCAAGGTTCGGCCCGCGACGTCCGACACCTCCCCCTCCGAGCTGGCGAAGTGAGTTCTGCCGTACTTCCTTGGTCTTCCTAGGGTCACCGTATGCGTTCTTTTACAAGACTCTGACAAGACCCTTGTCCCTCCTTGCCAGGATCGCGAAGCCGCTCCAGTCACTCACCCGCGAGACGCGAGACGCGAGAGCAGCCGTACCAACGCAGTGCGAAAATGAGCCGCAGAAAAAGTGAACCCTGCCCGGATCGAACGGACGACCTTGAGGACTTCCCAGAGCTGGAATCTCACGCGCTACCACTGTGCCAAGGGTTCAGTTGGCGTCTATTCCCTTCATAACGGTGTGTGCGGTCGTGCCCAACATGGTTCTCCTGGCGAAAGTGTCGTATCTATGACAGAGGACCACTTTGCTGTTCGAGTACGTACCTACCAGGTTGAAAACATGGATGTTGATTTGCATGTCTGCAGCCTAGGTAGGTGGGTATCACGACGCCCCGGCTCAGGAACAACGACACGCCAGCGCTGTCTCTGAACCCTTGGCACAGTGGTAGCGCGTGAGATTCCAGCTCTGGGAAATCCTCAAGGTCGTCCGTTCGATCCGGGCAGGGTTCACTTTTTTCTACATCACGACACATGGCACCTTTTTTGTCGCGTTCCCTGCGGTAGTTGGAAGGCCCACTTTGAAACCCGAGCTCTTGACATCATATGTGTGCCAAACAGAGACGGAAGACACAGGGAGGCTAGCCATGCTATGTTAGTGCATAAGGATTTTCGCACAGGTGTCTGTTAGTATATCGGTTAGTACACGCGCCTGTCAAGTACGCAGTACTGGCCGCGCGAAAGCGGGGTTCGACTCCCCGACAGAGAGCTTCTCTTTTTGGTACCTCTACGTGTTTGATATCAAGTTCCGTGCACAGTATCATTTTGGCATAGAAGACATGGTGAGAAGTGAGGAGATACATGTGTTCAGTCAATACAATGTTGTACATTGGTCTTCCTTGACCACATGGGCAACCGAGCACACATGTACGAGCGGAGGACTACCATGCCCGCGAGGACCGTCTGACGCGGGCCCGTTCGATAGATAGGTGTAAATACTGTATGCAGCTGCGCAAGCGCAGTCCTTCCTGCAGGTCAGCACAACGTGTAGTAGAGCCGAGCTGGTAGATCCTCACCTTGTCCAGCAGGGTTCACGCCCACAGCGTCAGCCTCGTGAAGTCGACACCGCCTCGTTCATTGGGGTGGGCAACGAACAGCGCGCCCAGGCGCGTGGCTGCACGCAGTCAAGAGGTGAGCTTTTCTTTCCGCAGATCGACACAGCACGACGGCAAAGCATCTGAGGGAATGGAGACGTACCGTCTTGCACCCCAGACTCTTTGCACGGCACGGTCGCGAGTCCCGCCGCACGGAGGGCGGTCATCACCTGCCCGTACGTCCCGCGGAACAGCGAACCCGGCAGCCCGTCCCGCTCCACGTTCTCCGAGCGGATGCTGCTGATCGACACCCGCCCCCGCCCCCGCCCCCGCCCCGCAGCGCCAGCGTCCATCGGGTCCCCGAGCTCGGCCGCCGGCGAGCTGTCCATGCCCGCGGCGAGGACGGCCTTCGCGATGCGGTACTTGAGCCGCGCGAGGCGGGTCTCGGAGAGCCTGCTCGGCGGCTGCGCGAGCTGGGACGCGAAGCGGATGTACAGCCCGTGTTCCTCTGGGAACTCGGGCTCGGGCCCGGGGCAGGGCCCGGGGTTGGTGAGCGTCGCGGAGGACGCGGTCGAGGTGAGGGTCCTCTCCGAGGCGAGGGTGCTCCTGCTGAGCGTGGGCCGCAGGCTGAGGGAAGGCCGCGATTCGGAGGCTTCTCGCCGGGACGACGCGACTGTGCGCGAGGAAGCTCGGGACGAGGACCGGGGGCGCGAGCGGAAGGCGACGTTGGCGAATTCGACGAGGTAGGGGATGCCGATGGAGTTGAAGCGGATTTCGGGGGCCATCGCGACGGTCAGGGCTAGTTGGTGAGGTGGGGTAGGTGTGTATTCTACAGCCAATACCGGATTGGACTCGAGGATGGGGAAGATGCGCTGATGATTCGTCGAAGGCCCGCCAAGATACCGGCCTTGCGTATATGTACGAGGGGCGTGCAGAGACCTGATGGCGAACACGTTCACACCCTTGCGCAGAGCACTGCACCGAGGGTGCCTGCGCGTACGCCCAGAGTTCCCAGAAGATCGACGGACGCGGTTCTTTTGCATGCCACGGGACGTGCTAGAACGGAGCTGCAGGCGAAAATGGAAGCTCAGCCGACGATAGAAGAGAAGCGATAAAGACTCAATGGATTGGAGACATTGCGTCGGGGGCGCTATAGGCTCGGGAAGCAATGTATCGTAGGGCCGATAACCGTACGGTGTCCTGTCGTGTAGGATGGAGACCCCGACTTCCCGTCTGCGAGCATGCAACAAGGGGACGGCAGAAAGTCTTCCAAGGTCAGCCGGTACAGAACTCCGTGTCGGAGAAGGACTATGTCATGTAGTTGAGGCGCACGAGGTCCATGAGATGAACTGCGAGGTTATCAAACCACCCAGACGGGCGTGGAAACAATGTGGTCGTCGTATGTCGATAGTGGCCTGTGCATACATAGAAGGGCGAGTGCTGCAGTCTGTCGCGTAAGGATGCTTGGTACTGATGTCTTCTCATCCGACAGTCGCACAAGCTAGGTGTCGTCTGTGGGACAGTGCAGGCTCACTCGATGTGCATGAGTATCACTTCCGACGAGCGCAATGCAAATGGGTGCAAGCGGTAGAGATGCGTGAAGCAGCGGAGCGCCCATGGACATGTAACTGCGGCCCGTGAAACCGAAACGTGCTCCGCGATCCTACAGCTGTTGCCGAAATCTTTGGCCGAGCGCTTCGCGCGACGCAACTCGCGCGACTGACGCGAAGAAATCGAGAAATTCGTAAAATCTGTGCAGACCTCCAAGAGCCCCCAAAAATATACTAGGTACAAGGATTATACATGTAGGCAACTATTCTCGACATTGATAGTGGTGAATGTGTGTGAACGTAGTGTCCAGGGCGAGAGACTGCCCGAGTCGGGCGCCATCCCCAACGCGCAGGACTCCGACCAGCACTGACAGCCAGTCTGAATGGAACACTTCGGGACTTCGATAAATATGTCTGATGGTCTATAAACCCTTGTACTATCGTCTATGAAGCATTTTGGGAGCGAAGGAGGGAGCTCTCGAATTTTACGATTTTCTCGATTTTCTCGTGTCGTTTGCGCGAGTTGCGTCGTGCGAAGCGCTCGGCCATAGATTTCGGCAACAGCTGTACTCACTCACCATCGCCATGCCCTCGTCTTCCGAGCTGGTCAGCTGCCTGTGGCTTATGGTCAATCGCATAGTCACTCTGCACACTCTGCGGGGCTGTGTACACCAAGATGAGAACGTCGGGATTGTGGCAGTCACCCAAATAAGGCGTACTGAGGGATCCTACCGAAATATCCTCCCACACGCCAAACAGTTCTGACGACGCCCGGAGACTGGATTGCATGCTCAACGGTGTCCAAAGCCTACCGATACTATACTCGTACAACGTGCAAGCTTCCCGGAAGCTTACACACACGCCTGTCCTCGTGGTATCCCGTGCGCGGTGCCGCGCCGTCGGAGGCGCGCTATAACTCTGCTCCTGGGAACGCGGCCCTGGCCTCGACGGTCTGCTGGTTCAGCCGCAGGCTATGTCTGTCCCCTCCGCCCGCTCTCCTCTCTCCGGCGCTGGCTCGGCATTCCCAGCGATATGATTTGGTCGATGAGCGAGGGCCGCCTCTGCTTCCGGAGGGACGGCCGACTCGGGGGAGCGGTCTGCACGGTAGCCTCGCTCGGACACCGCTCTGGACGCGACAATGGCTTGCCTCTGCTCACCTGTTTTGAACTCTCAGAGGCCTCCCGGCGGGGCGACGCTACCTCGAGAGGGACGGGATAACCAGAGCCCGGTGGACTTTGTGGGAAGGGCATGCTGGCCCGCCGCGACCGCGAGTCGTACTTCGGCCTTTGTGTTTGTGAAGTCGCGGGAGGCATGGCGTGCGACGTGATTGCAGGGGCAACTGGAGACCTGAAGTAGCCCTCTTCAGAGGAGGAGGTCGCTGTGGTGCGGTAAGAGGACGAAGTCTGAATGGAGGCCCTGGCGGGGGAGGGTGGCCGGGAGTGGTCGTAAGTCTGTCCTGCCTGCGCTTGGACCCAGAGAGCGGTGCGGTCAGAAGGAGAGAGCTCTGGGGGGCTGGAGTCGCGAGGCATGGAGGGAGCGTGGTGGGACGGGGACGATCTCAGCGTCGTGTGCACGGGGTGCGGTGGGGGCCGGGGGCGATTCGCAGACTGGGAGGGTTTTGCTGGCGCGGGCGCGGCGGGGGCTTACTTATATCCAGCGTTGATCTGCACGGATGGGGCAGCGTCCAAGGAACGGGTTTGGGGTTTCTTCGCAGCAGGCGCCCCGGGAGCAGTCCCTCTAGATCTGTCCGCAATTGTTTTGGAGCGAGTGGGAGCGCGCTTCGTAGGCGAGAGCCCGCTCGGAATGGCTCCAGCTTCCCTCGCGCACTCCCCCGGGCTAGAAGGAAAGGCCTCCGTCTGCCCTCGTCCCGAGCCCCGTACCGCAGTAGGAGGGGAGATCCCCATTTCCGGGTGGCAAAGTCAATCAAGTCCGCCGCTCGTCCGGCCGCTTTCTGGGGGTGTCCTCGTGGCTGTGTTCTACTCCATCAATCCCGAATCGGGTCTCCTTCCTACTCCTGCGAACACAAACATAGCTTTCCTGGCGAGCTTGCGAGCATGGCGAAGGAAGCTGGGTGTGGTCGTACTGCGTCTGGCCTAGGTCCCAGGAATATCAGCTGCCCGGGGCACTTATCATCCAGTGAACTTATCTGGTCATCTACACAAACATCTAGGCCCTTGGACGGAAGTATGACTCGCCCCTGGAAGTTGCTACCATAAGGAGACGGGATATTCCTGCGCCACCGTCGATCTGTGTTGCGCAAACAGCAGCCTTGAACCCGACCACTATATACAGGACCCGACTCGGACACAAACTACTCGCAAACAATGTCTGCAGGAAAGACACAAGTGGTCATTCTTGGCGCCGGCGTCATTGGCTTGACCGTCGCACACGTTCTATCCAAGGATGAACGATACAAGATCAAGATAGTGGCGAGGGATATGCCGGAGGATATGGACTCCCAGGCGTTCGCCTCCCCATGGGCGGTAAGTTGATGGTCGACCGTGACTGCCACCGGACGGACAGGTGCACACGGCGGTGTGCTCCTATCCTTCCGGGCGGCACGTCTCAAGTCACCGTCTGAACGCACAACGCCCATGTACAGTATCATCTAACCGCACCGCATGCATAGGGCGCGAACTGGTCCCCGATGGGCCAATACAACGAACGCACGTACAGATGGGAGAAGACGACCTTGTGCGTACCGTCCCCGCGTGCTTCATTCATTCGTTCATTCATTCGAGCTCACCATCGGTCCGGGTGCAGCGACAAATTTTGGGACCTGATACCCTCCGGGCTGTCCATCGTAAGTCCGGGACGGGCGTTGCCTTACCGTATGCGTATGCGTGTACTCACGGGCAGCCCCGCGCGTGCTAGCCATCTCCGTCGCGGGTCTTCTACGACGCAGGCACGGACCTGAACGCGCTGTGGTACAAGACCCTCGTGCGCGACGTGCGTCCGCTCTCGCAGCCACCGTGCCGCACCGCGCAGCCTTCACTCATATCGGACTTTCAGTTTAGGGTTCTGGACAAGGACGAGCTGCCGGAGGGGATGCAGGCCGGGGTCGGCTTCCAGACCGTGTCCGTGTGGCCGCAGGCGTATCTCCCGTGGCTCAAGGCCGAGCTCGA